GGAACCCGGGGCTGCTGGGAATCCGCTGGTGAGGACCACGTTGGGCTGAGGGGAGCCTGCTGCCGAGAGTACCTGCTGTGTGAAGCGAATCTGCTGCTGAGGGGAATCTGTCACCGAGCCGAAGAGAACTTGTGGGCCGGGGGATTGGCCCGAGGCCAGCCGGCTTCTGAGGAAGGAGCCCGCGGGAACCTGCAGCTGAGGGAGGACGCGGGTACCCCTGCACCTTAAAGATGCTCCAGCCGCCCCTCGACCCCTCGCGGATGCACTGCTTGGGGAAAGTGGTAAGGAAAACGCCATTTGTTAGGTCACTGCGCTGGAACCACCAGGACCACAATCCCTTCTAAATCCATGTGAAGTGACCCAAAAAACTAAAACGCCTCATCTACTGTCAGTGATATTACAAGTTAATGGAATCCTAGGCAATTTATGGAGACCCTGACTCACATAAGAGGAGGGATGGGCAGCCTGGCATGGCACACACCCGAAATCCTAGCACTCCTGAGGCTGAGGCAGAGGCAGGATTACTGTGAGTTCAAGGCCAGCCTGGCCAACATAGCAGGTACTAGGCTAGCCACGCACTTTTTGAGACTATCTTAAAAAGATTTTTTCTTTTTTAAAGGAGGGTCGGGGACCTAGCCTAGTGCTTCCCTAATACATGGGAAGTCTTGAGTTCAATCCATGGTAGTGTGTGTATATGTTGGGGTACATTTCCTTAAAAAAACAAAGTGCTTTAGAAGTGTATAGTGAGCCGGGCATGGGCGCATCTAAGGAGGCAGAGGCAAGTGGATCTGATTTCGAGAGCAGCCTGATCTACATAGTTCTAGGCCAGCCAGGGCTACTTAGCAAGACCTCTTTGTTTTGTAGATCATATAAAATACAAATACATATGCATGGGAGTTTGATAAAACAAAAATAATTTCACAGTACACTCCTCGTTCAACACACTATTTTCTGTTAACAACTTTTCATGGACATTCTTAACAGGCCACATTGCTTCTCATACAGGTGGGCTTGTGGCTGAAATAAAGGGGACTGGTGGCTTAGCAGTTAGGAGCACTCCAGGTAGCGTGGATCCCAGCTACCTGTGTAGGCAGCTTACACTCTCAGAGCTCCCCACTTCCTAGCTCCAGGAGATCCAGTTCTTTTTCCTGGTCTCCATAGGCACTTGCACTCAGGAGCACACACCTGAACACAGATACACATATAAAAATAAATCTTAAAGCCCCACTGTGGTGGCACACACCTTTAATCCTAGCACTCGGGAGGCAGAGCTAGTTCCAGGACAATCTCCACAGCCACAGAGAAACCGTCTCAACCCCCCCCCAAAAAAACAACAAAAAGCATAGATTATCCCAATTAGTTGTATGTGGTATAAACCATTCCATTTTGCAGATGAGGAAGTTGAGGCCTCTACTTGATAGTGGCGAGATCTTACATTGTGTCAGGGTTTTCACCCCAGAGATAGAAGAGTAACACTGCTTCTAGCAGAAATGGTCTTCTTGTTTTGGCAGAGTATGATACATGACTGTTCACACGTGTGATATGTAGAGAAATAGTGGGAAACTGTATTGTTTAGCTGCGTGGCCTCCAAAATTAGTGACTTTAAAGCAAACTAAGACCAAGTAAAGGTAGAGGGTTGATTTAGTTTATTGTTTGTGTATCCAATGCCAAAACCCAACTAATAATCTGGGTGTGATGGTGTATACCTAAAATTCTAGGACTTTGGAGGTAGAGGCAGAAGGAACAGGAATTCAAGGACATCTTTGCCTACATAGTGAGTTCAAGGCAAACCTGGAGGACCTTATGATTGATAGATTAAAGTCTCTTTATTCAAGAAAACACCAGGGCAAAACGAAGGCCAGAGCGAGGTTACAGGAACCCAGCAAGCGCGGCCAGAACAAAAGGGGCCAGGGTCCCCACGTGCAGCCCCTTAAGAAGCTCCCTTATGTCACCCCGGCTTTCCTTCACCACGCCCTTATGGGCGAGTCCCGGGGCCACCTGGTACCTGTCCCAGGACTATTGGGTAGGGCTAGGGTGTCTCCCTACATATGATCCTCATAAAAAAACTCAAAACTAGAGGTTTAGAGCACTTGTTCTTGCACAGGGCCTGGGTTTGGTTTCCAGCACCCACAGGTAGCTCATAACCATTAGTAACTACTTATAGGAGATCTGACACCCTCTTCTGACCTCCATGGATACCATGCACACATGTGGTAAATGTACATACATGTAGGCAAAATAGTTACACACGTTTTTAATTGGTTTTAAAAAGTTTTTTATTTGAAAAATTAGACATATAGAGAAATGCTCATGACAAGTTATAAACAAACAAACAAACTGATAGGAACAAGTTTGCTATAAAATCAGCCAGTCATCAGATTCACACCAAGTTTATCAAAGGTGAATCTAAGGTGAAAAGGACCTGACCAACATTCACCAGAAACCTCAGCTGTAAGCTTTTTTTTTTTCAAGACAGGGTTTCTCTGTGGCTTTGGAGGGCCTCGAACTCACAGAGATCTGTCGGCCTCTGCCTCCTAAGTGCTGGGATCAAAGGCGTGAGCCACCACCGCCCGGCATTGTGGCTTTTACTTTAAAGAGTCTTCCAGAATTTACAAGTGACTTATAACCTGGAAATGCATTGTCACCCACTTAACAGTTTGCTGTGTTTGCATGCAGAATATTCATCAGAATACTGAGGATTACTGCGCAACATGATTCATAACTACGGTCTTTTAGTTTAGCTCTGTTATTTGGGCAAGTACAGTGGTTTTAAAGAACCAAACTAAACAAAGTGATGTGCAGGGAGCTGGCTGGGATCTTTAGAATTCATTCTTCTTCTTTTCTTTCAAAAGTACATTTTCAGCACGCAACTTTTCTGTCTCCTGTAATTTAAAGAAAATTAAGTTTCTAATTATTATAGAAATTATTTTCTTAAGTATATATTCAAATTAAAATTATGAGATTACAGAGTGTGACCCTGTCTCAAAAAACAAAAAAGTAAAGTAGCAATGACCAATTTATTTAACTTAAAAAAAATCCACTTTAAAATCGCTATAAACTTAATTATAATAGTTTTCAGTTTACCTCAGCAAGCCTGACATTTTCCTTCTTGAGTCGCACTACATATTGAATCTTCTGATGTAGGTTTTGATGACCTACTAACTTTCCATTTTCCTCAGCAAGATACTCTAGTTGCTTTCTCAACATTTCCATTTCCTGTCAATCCAAGGTGGGAAGATCACATTATGTATCCCCTTTCAAAAGCACCAACTGAGGTGATCAAGCTTCTGTGGACATTCTGCACACTAGAGAAACTGAACCACGGATGTGGTTTTTGTTAATACTATCAAGTATTCTACCTGGCACGGAAGATCCAACACACCTGGAAAGTTCTGTCTCTTTCTTCATACATTTCTTCCAATTTTGACCGAAGCTTCTCCTTTTCTTGAAATGCTCTAGACTCCAAAGTTCTGATTCGCTCAACTTCCTCGTTCATTCTGTGGCACACCTTCTCCTTACTATGAAGGGCAGTTTGTACGTCTTCTAGACTGGAAGAATAGCATTACTTTATGGTATATTTCAAGAAAATGTAATTATAAAACAGGGGTCAAACTAGGTTTTTCCTTTTAAGTTCAGAATTTTGATTTCAAGGTATCACTAATCTTCAAGTCTCCTGAATAGCTGGCAAAAGAAGATAGGCTTGCGGGGTGGTGGTGGCACAAGCCTTTAATCTGAGCACTTCAGATTAAAGTGGAGCTCTGAGCGCAAGGCCAGCCTGGTCTACAGAGCAAGTTCCAGGACAGCCAAGACTTACACAGAGAAAACCCTGTCTTGGGGGGGTGGGGGGGGGAGAGGGAGGCAGGCTAGACCTGGGGTGGACCTTGGTGGTAGAACACTTTGTTGACAATGTTCCAGGCTCTGGGCTCCGCCCTCCTCAACATGGTAGAGGCACTGAATATGTGATTGCTTTGTTAGGTCAACAAATTAATCTGAGAAAAACTCTTTAAACAATTTATTAATTATTTGGAGCCGTGCTCTTACGTAGCTGCAAAGTCACCATGTAGCTGAGGATGAAGTACCTCCCCTACCCAAGTGATGAAATTATAGGCATATTCTACAATGACTGGCTTCAAACTTTTTTCAAATAATAAAAACAGTGTGAAACTTTGCTT